CGAACCCCGGCCGCGAGCCCCCGAACCCCGGCCGCGAGCCCTGACCGCGAGCTCCGAGGCTCACCCCACCCCACCCCGACCCTCTCTCTCCTTAGCCTCTCTCCCTCCCCCAACCTCTCTTTCTCTCCTCCCTCTCTTTCTCTCTCTTTCTCTCCTCTCTCTCTCCTCCCTCTCTCTCTCTCTCCTCCCTCTCTTTCGCTCCTCCCTCTCTTTCTCTTCAGATTCATCTCATATGAAACAAAAAAAAACAGATTCATCAAAACATAATCATCTTAAAATTCTTGAGAATCATCACAAGGTTTGAATGTCACCAGGGATTCTTGGCTGTGCCGTTTTAGCTGTGGATCTTTATACCTTCAGCAAGCGACAGGAACATAATCATCCATAAGATATGTTCTTCAATCTGTTCTTCAGATTCCTATACTAACGAGAAAAAGTTCGAGTCAAGAATCATTTACAAAAAATAAACAAATAGAATCCATAGCTAGAATTCATAAATACAGAGGATAATAATCAGATCCATCATCGTATAGAAAGCAAAGAAACATACCTCTTGACTCATGTTTGTTTTTCTCGTCACCATAATCGCTAGCTCTTTACTACATATTTTGTATTTTATTGTTTGAACACACTCTCTACTACAGATTCTTAATTATTCTTTCTTTGGTTTTCTGTTTGGTAATAAAAGAGTTCTGTCTGTAAGAGATTTAATTGTCTTTTATAAAGAGGAGGATGAGCCACCAACGGTTCCATTACAACGGTTATATTTTTGTAGCCGTTGGATGATTATAATAGTTCACATGCATAAAACACGTGTCGTTGGATTTGTTTAAAGTCTTTTTGGGTCAAATACACTAGATTATCGTCACTTTGGAAACGCATATTTCAAATATATCTATATTTAATTTTGTTGGATAGCAGCATATCGTGATCTTATCCCATAAATTTAAAAATTAACTAGATCATATAGTGATTTAATTTAATAAACTAAATTTTGATCCGCGTGTCCGCACTGATTTTGCAATTTTATTTTTTATAAATTATTTAATGACATTTTAAAAATATAGTTCAATTATATTTTTTTTTTAGGTTCTTACACACCAACTCGAATCTTTCTAAAATTTTATTCTACTTAAATTGTATTTATCTATTTATAAAAATCTAAAAACATCTAATAAATGATTTGTACTCGAAAGGGTACTTGAATGTCTATGTCTATCTGATTACATAAACAAATTTTAAACAATAATTTTTGATTTTTTGACAGTTGAAAAACAAATTATTAGATTATTTCGATTATTATTTATTTTTATTTCTACATAATTATTTCAAAATTTTTGTAAGTTGTGCGGTTTGTTTCTTAAAACGTATAACTTATGGAGTTTGTTTTTCTTATAAAATTTTACTAATCATATATGACCACTTTATTTTTCTATTTGAACTTCTAACAAAATATTGAAAATTTTAATTTAGAAAAAATAGCTTTATATGAATTATTATTATTTGTATTAATTGTTTTAATATTTTAGCCTAAAATATTTATGTGACTAAAATAAATAAGTTAATACTATATTTTGTAATTGTTTTATTTAATATTATATATATATATATATCTGTTGGATATTTATTTTACCTCAGAAAATAACAACCATAATATGGTGAAATAAATATAGTATTGTTTTATTCGTTTTATATAAGAAAGTTAATTGTATATTATTTACAAAATTGGGCTATAGAATATAACTCCTACATCAACAAATCAAAATTTACATAAAATCTGGCCCATATTAATATTGTCCTCAATATCTATTAGACCCACTAATTACTTTGGAATTTTTTGCTTTCTCAAATAATTCTCTGTGGGTGTTTCTCTCTCTCCCTTAGCTCATCTTCTTCTTCTCTGTGGGTACTTCAAAAAGCTATATCAAATACAGAATCTCAACTTTTCCAATTTCGTGCTCATCTTCTTCTTCTTGTCAAAGGCATTTAAAGAGATTGAGAAACAATATAACAGGGTTTGGAGATATATAGATTGGAGAAATAAAAAACATGGAAAGAAAGTTTAGTTTAGAAAATTAAGGTAATAATTTATTGCAAAGATTGCAATTGAGAATCCAACGAATATTAATCGGAAGTAATTAATATTATGTTACCATAATTGTTTAATTAATTGAACCAGTTGGCTGCTAATTGTTGTAAAATTTTTATTTTGATTTTGGTTAAAAGGATTTTAATTATCTTTATTTCCAAACAGTCTTTATTTAGTCTACTGTTCTAGTGACATTACTACAAATCATAATACTACTACGTAGGACATACTAAATTAATGTGTTTCAGCCACAAACGTGATGGTCATTTGAGACGTAAAAATCTGAAAATGTAAACTTCATTTCTGGTTTTCAATAAGAACCAAAATCGCCTCAAAGCCAAATGAAGCTAAATCCCAAAATACTGATAGCTAGGGCTGCATTTTTCGTGGTGGTTGCGGAAGAGTTCTCTGTTTCATTTTAGAATTATCATATCAGTTACATAAGTATTAAGTAGATAAGATTGTAAATCCAAAATTTAAGCTTGATATATCAGAGGAAGTAACTTAGTGCATACCACTAGAGGTCGTAGCACCCGGCGACGCATCAGGCGAAGAATCTTCAGTGAGACAATAAACATATATTAGCATGGTGTCGTTTACGTTACACATCACCATTATACCATGAGACGCATATATAATCTACATTATACAATAGACACACATAACATAGCTAGAGCTAGACGAAGAGAACTCACCAGTGCTATTGCTACAAAATGAGTCGTCATAACTAGCTCCACATGAACTAAGAAGGTTTAAAGCGTCATCTTGGGTGAGATCAATGAGTGCGAGCATGTCCGGATGGTTGAGGAATCCACATAGACATGTAACGTCTTTCTCAACGGTCTCTTTCACCGGATTGCAACACCACGGAGGCGGAGGAGAATCTGTGTTGATGTACGGATGACATGGTATTAGTTTTTCTACGCATCGCATTGCCTCGTGAGTTTGTTCCATTTGTGCTGTGGTTTGAACGGAGTAGATAATTACGAGGACGGTGGCTACGCCGAGTGATCTTGTAATGTCCATTATTTTATTTTTGTTATGCAACTTACCTATGTTTTCCTATTTTTGGTTTTAAATAACGAGTATGTGTTTTTTCTTGATATTAAGTAATTTTTTTTATTGCCAAAAAAGTAATTTTTTTATTGATTTTCTTGGGTGGTCAACTGTATATTTTATTTCCGAGTTTAGTTGAATAATTACCTGATTTGTTCTAATAATCTTTGAATTAATGCCTAAAGAGGAGGATAAAGACTTCAAACTATTAACTAACGTACGAGTTGAGATTCGTTGCAATTTGACGGAATGTTAATTACCCTGTCTAGTGCATGTAAAGTGATACCATATCCTTATATGATCTGTTTTTAGCGTCCATTAAATGAGGAGAACAAAAATCTAAAGTAACTGATACTGTTGACCATAAAAATTGTATTTTGTGTTACTAATCACATATTCTGAGCGTATAGTAACCTCTATAAAGTAAAGATCAATCAAATAAATTATTAGCTTTTAATTGGATTATTTTTTATTAACTAATATTCTATAAATTAATGAAATAGTATAGTTTTGATATTATTATTTTATAGAATTTTATTGTTTGGCACCAACATTAATAACTTTGGCTACAAGGCAAGGTCAGAGGTTGAATATCTGATTTAGTTATTCAGTATAACGAACTTTTGTCGAATTACATAATAACCCCTACTTCCTCTCCATCGTTTTGTTTGACTTCTTCTCCTCAACCTGATCGGATCACTGAGAAGAAGCAAGAAGCTACAAAAAAAAACTAGAGGAAGAGTAATGAGTATCTCGTCGAGTCACAAGATCATAGCCTTCTCTCAACTCATTTTCTCACTATACATTTATCGCGTTCATGCGCAACACTTTATCCTCAACTTCTCGGATGAGGATTTCCACAATGGCTTCGACAATAACAGCACCAACGAAGACTCTTACTCCGAGAACTTCGGCCAAACAGAACCTATATCCGACCAGGATCTTGATCCTGGTTCTTGGCGACCAATCTTGGAGCTGGACCATGCGTTGACTCTATACTACTCTGCTCTCAAGAAGATGGTTTCAGCTTCTAGCGAAGGAAACTTTAAGTTGATGGAGGAAGCTGTTATGGAGCTGAACACTTCTGCATCGTTCGGAGACCCGCACGCACAGTCGGTGATGGGGTTAGTGTATGAGATGGGAATAACACGAGAGGTTAATGGAGACATGTCATTTCTTCAACATCAGTTAGCGTCTGAGGGAGGGAATATTCAGTCTAAGATGGCACTTGCATTCAGATATATACAACTAAATGTAACAACGCCAATATTAACATGACTAGAGATTCTATAAGATAACATTCTTGTTTAATGTTCTTTGATTATTTTTAAACAGATGTATGATAAAGCTGTCCAGCTATATGCTGAAGTAGCGGAGGCAGCACTCAATAGCTTTCTGATCTCTACGGATTTCTCCATGGTTGCACCATTTAGAATTCATAGAGGAGCAGAGGAAGACAAATATGTGCTAAGGAGATTCCGTGGTGAAGACGATGAAGATTTCAAGATGTTGGAGTACCACGCACAGATTGGGAAGCCTTCAGCAATGTATAAAACTGGTCTGTTTTACTATTTTTCTCTGAGAGGATTAAGACATGATCACGCCAAGGCAGTGTACTGGTTTACAAAGGCAGTAGAGAAAGGAGACCTGAGGTCAATGGAGATTCTTGGTGAGATATATGCGCGAGGAATCGGTGTTGAGAGAAATTATTCAAAGGCGTTTGAATGTCTCACACTTGCTGCACAAGGAGGTCTGGATTCAGCATTTACTGGCCTGGGGTACTTGTATCTCAAAGGCTATGGAGTAGATAAGAACTACACTATGGTCAGTTTGTTCCTTATAATTGCTTCATACTTTTGTTGGTTACTATGTTTCTGACTAGAAGTTTAGTTTCTATACTTGTTTAACTGGTTGTAGAAAAAAATATTGGGATTCTTGACTGTGTGTACAAATACTCTTGATTAGTCTTAAAGATACTAGAGTTTGATTTCAGTAGTATTTAAGCAATCATAATGGTGTTTTTTTTTTTCATTTTAGCTCCTTGGACATCTCTATATAATTAATCATTTAGCAATAACACAAAACAATTTTATAGACATATATCTTAAATTGCAGGCGAGAGAATGTTTTGAGAATGTTTCTGATAATGAAAACCCAAGCGGGATGTACTACCTTGGAATGTTGTATCTTAAAGGCATTGGAGTCAAAAGAGATGTAAAGCAGGCAACAAAATACTTCCTTGTTGCCTCTAATGCTGGCCTACCAAAGGCTATGTATCAAATGGCCAAGATGTTACATGCTGCCGCCGAGCTCAAGAAGAATCCTAACATGCTGAAACTGGTAACTAATTTTTTTTTTTTGACGAAAAACTGGTAACATGCCAAAATGTTATGATCATCTAATCATGATATATCAGGGCCGTCTTCAATTTTTAAGGAAAAAATCTTTATATTTTAAAATAAATGTATAAATTATGCTTAAAATTAGTTAAGGTTTATAATTTCACAAAAAAAAAGTTAAACATATATAAGTGAAACTAAATTTTTGACTCTCTATCATTACTTTTAAAATATACAAAGACCTATAAATAATTTGAGACTGAAATATATATATATATATATATATATATATATATATATATATAGATATGTTAGTATTTATTTGTAGAGGAACTTACATTGAAAGCTTAATCAGTTTCTTAGCATTTTGTATCCAGGCTGCGGCTCTTTACAAGTCAGTAGCGGAAAGAGGACCATGGAGTTCTCTCTCGAGATGGGCTCTTGAAGCTTACGTGAAGGGTGATGTGGGAAAGGCTTTTCTATTATACTCTAGAATGTCAGAGCTTGGTTACGAAGTAGCACAAAGTAATGCTGCCTGGATCCTGGATAAATACGGTGAAAGGAGCATGTGCATGGGAGTTTCTGGATTTTGCACGGTTAAAGAGAGGAAGGAACGTGCTCATGCATTGTGGTGGCGAGCCTCTAAACAAGGAAACGACTATGCTGCTTTGCATGTCGGAGATGCATATTACTACGGCCGGGTAAGTTTTGGACTTGTTCACAAACTCTGAATGCTAAAAAGAGCCGGTTCGAGCATAGCGAATTGAAATATTAGTCTAATGTCTTTAAATTAAATTTAAACTAATATACATAAATATAGGTTTTCAAAATGTAAATAAATTTTTGTTAAAGTTTTAATAAATTGTCTTTGACCTTCAAAATCTCAGAGCCAACCCTGATGGTGGTGACTCATTACTGATCTATTAAGCTTGTATTTGTGTGTTTCTCAGGGAAAAGAAAAGGATTTTGTGCTTGCAGCAGAGGCTTACATGTATGCAAAGTCTCAACTTAATGCACAAGCCATGTTCAACCTCGGTTACATGCATGAATATGGACAAGGGCTTCCTTTTGATCTCAGTCTTGCTAAAAGTTACTATAACCAAGCTCTCGAAAACGAGCCAGTATCCAAATTGCCAATCATGCTTGCTCTTGCGAGGTTGTGGGTTCGCAAAAACTATGTTGACGTTTCCATCATGGTGACTCTTCTTCTAGCCTCTCTTATACCGTTCTGCATCTCCGGGCGAAGCGACCCCAACGCAGAGAGGTCACCGAGGGTTCTATCGGTGCTGACGTTGCACAGCCTCTTGTTGAGTCTGCTGCTTTCCCCCAACTGATCTAGTTATGTTAACAAGTACTTAAGCTACGTAGTTGTGAGTTGTGACACTGTACAGGTTAATTTCTCTGTGTTTCATGTACATTATGATTTGTAATTTCTCTGTAACTCAATTTGAGTCTGATATATTATGTTTTTTTACTAACCGAGTATCCTGACCCATTGAAATGGTCTAGACTAGAGATCGAAGCGAGTAAGAACACTGCCAGAGCGTCACCATGTGGCTCACCTATAACGGTTTTCGGTCTTGAATGCTGCAGTCCATATGCATATTATGATTTGTAATTTCTCTGTAACTCAATTTGAGTCTGATATATTATGTTTTTTTGCTAATCGAGTATCATGACCCATCGAAGTGGTCCAGACTAGAGACCGAATCGAGCAAAGACACTGTGAGAGCGTCACCATATGGTTCACCTATAATAATCTTCGGTCTCGGATGCTGCAGCTCATATTATATTATGTTACCCGAATGAAATATGATTATGATATATATTGTTACCCTAGACGACAATAGTTAAAGCCTTCGTTAAGAACGTTTGATGTCAAGAACGTGGTGTACAGAAAATGGTGGTGGTGTTTATGACTTGCATGTCGCTTTCTATTTCATTAAATTGAATCCACGATGATGAACAACCGTTGAATATACAATTTAAAATCACACGAACTTGTGCTTGAGTGGTCCTCACGTTAAAGCCAAAAAACAAATAATGTCATGACTCATGATACCAAAGAGGATGAATATATAATATTTCGCACCTTATAATAACAAACCATAAACATCATTCCAATTAGTAACCGAACATTTCGATTCATCTTTGTCTATTGTCTGAGAAGAATGTCGCTGATGGATAATCTGCTAGGAATCCTCCGCGTTCGCGTCAAACGTGGCGTCAACCTCGCCGTACGTGACGTTTCCAGCAGCGATCCTTACGTCGTCCTCAAGCTTGGCCGTCAGGTTTCTCTCAAACAATCCTCTTCAACTATTATTTCATATACTTACATTTTAAAATCTTTTGTAGAAACTCAAAACCAAAGTGGTCAAGAAAAACGTAAACCCACAATGGGAAGAAGACTTGACCTTCACGGTTACCGACCCGAATCTCCCTCTTAATCTGGTTAACTACTTCCCAAATTTAACTTAACCGGACCGGTTTAAATTTTTTTAATAATCGTTTTTTATCTAAATCAAAACATGCAGGTTGTGTACGACCATGACTTCTTTAGCAAGGATGATAAAATGGGAGACGCAGAGATCGATTTGAAACCCTACATTGAAGCTCTACGAATGGAGCTATCCGGTTTACCAGACGGAACCATCATATCGACGTTTCATCCTAACCGAAGCAACTGTTTAGCTGAGGAAAGTTACATACGGTGGAGCAATGAAAGAATCGTCCAGAGCTTTTGTCTCCGTCTACGTAACGTTGAGCGTGGTGAAATTGAACTTGAGCTTCAGTGGATTGATCTCCCTGGTTCTAAAGGCTTATGAAATAAAATTTGTAACACTATCTTATTGGGCTTGGCCCATTGTATTATACAATACGAGGCCTTCGAATATGAGGGTTTGGTTTGATGGTATTTTTAACAAAATGAACAGTTTTTTTTTTTTTCGATCAACACAAAATAAACAGTTTATATTTAATTATGTGTGTGTGAATGTGAACCATTTGGGTTTTGGCGTCTCTGCCCAAGACGGCACGAATTTTAGTGATTGGTGTTTAGTTCAAAGGAATCGTCACGTTATTGTGAGGAGGACAAAGATATTTTCCTACTTTCGTTAAAAACATAGAATATGAAAAAGATACTTTAATGCATCAATAACAGCTTTTTTGAGGAACACAATATTTTATAGAAACGAAGTAGAAAAAGTTGGTAGTTTTTTAAAAATATTCTCTGTTCTGTAGCTATATACTCCTTTTAAAATCAGCCTTTTAAAGAATCTAAAACCGTGCAAACGAAATTTTTATTGTTTAATGTTAACATTTTATTAAAAAAATTTGTTGAAGGCATCTATCTTATATATGCTTTTCTATTGATTCGTGTATTTGGTCTGATGTTTTTCTTTTGGTCGGGGGAAACTTTCGAAATTGTAAACAGTCCCCTGATAATTACTCATATATTAAACACTCCCCTACTTTTTTTTATCAAGCAACAAAAAATAAACACTGACTATAGACTTTAAAAAATTAATGAAGGTGACAAGTGCCACGCCTCTAACTTTTAATTTTCAATATGCCTACCCCATCATTAACTCGTACGCATGCCCTCCTCATTCACTATCTCTCTGCATTTGTGTTTCCTTCGCTTTTATAATTCTCTCTATAAACATTATTTCACTCTCAATTTCGTAATTAGGATAGACTATTAGACCGAGGAAAAATAGACGTTGTTTCTCGACCAAGTTATAGTTATACAATCCTATTTATCTCGTTATCAAAAACTTTTCTAGATAAGTTGTCTTTAAATTAAGTTAGCTCTATGCTAGTGTACCTGGAAACAACAATATAACCAATGAATGCTGTCTATTTGGACATAAATTATTGTGTTTATAAGTCTAAATCTAAGTTACATATTTTTGAATTTGTATTATGTATTTTAAATGTTTTATGCTTTGGGATATTAATTAAAGTGTAATAATATGAACTTCAATCCATATACGATCAGTCAAATTTCATTAGTCATCATCCGCTTAGTAGTGGGATTATTTGATTTGATTACAATTAGCAGGCTTGCTTTAGCCAATCGTGTTTAAGCACAGACGCATGGACCTTGAAAAAACATGCAAATGCAATAGATTATTTTCTTTTCACACGAGAGGCGTATGCATGCATAGTAACTTTCAAATAAACTAATTATAGAGTTGATTTCTTTCTTTTTTTAAACACATAACTGTTTGTATTTAACGTTACTATCAGATGATTTATAACTAAATCATGAATGTTCCTTTTGTGATTCGTAATCATCCATTTATTTTGCTCAAACCATATGTTTTAAATCATTTGTATAGCAGTTGACCAATGAGACTCGTAACAAATGAGAAATACGAGTCTAGCTTTAATGACATGGTAAAAAGAAAAGTACCATCGTCTACTCTTTTACCGCATGAGAAATATGTATAAAGTGAATAGACCTACTTTTTCAAAATACAACGGCTACAGCTCTTTAAGCATCTATATTTAAATTCACCCCAAACTTTTTTATAATGCAAGTGTTATAGGTCTACAAAATAGACAAGATAATTTAAACCAAATAATTCTAGACTGAAGCATGTTCATCTTTCTGTTGGGACACAAAGACTCGTCTCAATTAAATTCGAGCTTTGCTTTCTGAATATTTTCTTAGATCAGTAGCAACGATCAATATCATCTACAATATTTGGTTACGCCTTAAGTTTTTTGCAAATTAACTAATAAATGTTTAGTTACTTCCTTAATATTTCCGATTTTCTTTTTAATTCAAATCATAGTTTATACTTCTGTGGAAAAAAAGTTTAAATTTAATCAATTAAGTTGATGTCTATGATTTAGTAATTGTCTATATAAATAAATCATAATGTGATGCAAAATATGTATCATGCACCTATTATTCCTTTTGATTTAACTTACTTAATTAATTAAGATCAATGTTCTAAAAATTGGTAGGTCATAGTTACATGTCTTAAAAAAGGTTATTATTTATGTTATGCTTAGACTGATTTTTAGAACATTTATACCAATTTTTAAAAAAGTTAATTTGAAAAAAATATTTTGTTCATATCCGATTGGCCGATTTACATTTATCGACTAGGAGGCATCTAAATGTACCGATTTTTAGAATAGTGCTTAAAGATTAGTTTCTTGGTTTTTAGGATAAGCCGACCAGCCCCACTTTATTTATAGATTAGTGCAAGTCAAAATAAGCTTTAAAGTGATCAATTAGTCAAATTTTACTTTATGAAACCTAATTATCTTTACCGGCTGCGACCCACTTTTCCATTTTTCACGTTCCATTTTGAGCCGTACTGTTTAAATTTTAAAGGTTTGTATACAAATAAAAAGCATGATGTGGGAGAATATTTTGATTATTCAGATTGCACAAACCTAAATTACTAAATTAGTATGTTTTCATCGATTCATTGTCTTTTCTTTCGGGGAGTCAAAATCGATTTTAACAACTATTTTATTTATATAAAATGTAACATTACAAATAAGATAATAAAAATACAACTAATTGAAAATTAAAACTGCAAAATATAATATAACATATAAATAAAATTTGAAGAATTTTTTTTCTTCGAACAATCTTCTTCAATAATATAATTTTTCTATGCAATTATCTTCGGCAATTACACAATCTATGATATTCTAAAGTTTATTTTGCACTTCTATTTGTTGTATTATATTGGTCATATTCCATTTTAGATATATAGATATTATTTGGTTTAAGATTCAATATATTGATCCAACCATAAAAAATAAAAGTAAAAATTACTAATTTTTAACGAATATCGACATACAATAAAAGAGATAACGTCTTCAACTTTGTATTGTTGCTTTCTCTTTGATGCATTTAATAATTTCTGTTATATATTTTGATACCAAATATGTTGTATTAAAACATTTTTTTTCATCGAAAGTAAACTTCTTTTTTTGATCTTATACTCCTCTTCCGCATAACGGATTCATAGTGATTTTTTCTGTGGACGTTATTTCCACGACAAATTTATTAAATTTTGTTTCAAACACTGAAAAGTCATCCCAGATTTATGATAACCACCAAAAAACTTTAATTTTGAAGACAGCCCAAATATATTGGCTGTGTTGTCGTCGATCATGGTTAAAACAACAATGCTGGAGGTTTTAATACGAATTAGAGAAAATAATCCAATTTGTTACAAGTAGAAAGGAAAAACTTCTCAACTATAGAGAAGACAAAAGATACAGAAGTATCGTGACACTCCATTGAAACATTTAAATGTGCCTGAACCAACAGCAAAAGTGGACAACTGTGAGCAGAAGACAATCACCTTCCAATCGCCACTAACCGCTTCGTGTCCGTTTCTCTCTTAAGCGTCGATGTTTGTTCTCACACAACACGGCATAGTACAGTTGTACTCAAAACAAAAGTTGATAAAAAATCGGGAAAATAAAAAAATAAAAAATAAGAGTTGTGTTTGTATGGAATGTCGAGAAAATTTGAAGAGCAGACTGATGATGGAATATTGTGTTTCCTCAAATATCAGCACTCCTCATGATATCGACCGATTGCTTTTGTACGAATTTTAAAAGTATATATGTATACTATATAAAACGTGTAAAATCAAATATCCAAAAAACTTTTAAATAAAAACATAGCAAAAAACATTAAAAACCATCAGTTCATTTGAAATTATGTATATAAAACTCAATTTACTCTAAAATGATTTGAGCTATTCGATTATTCATTTTCATATTATACTCTTGAACGGAGCTTGGTTATTTATAGATAACATAGCTTAAAAAGTAATAAATTCACTAAAGTAAAAAAATCTATCAAGTGGCGACAAAAAACGACAAATATATTAGGATTAAAAAGCATACTAAATGTAAATATCAATATTTTCTCAATGAAAAAGAAAATCAAAAAAGTAATATAAACATATATGCTCTTCTTCACACTCACTTTACTCTCTCTTCTTCACCGTAGACACTTCTTCTTCCTCTCTCTCTCTCTCTCTCCCTAACAAGATGATAACGGCGACGGACTTCTACCACGTCATGACGGCGATGGTCCCCTTATACGTAGCCATGATCCTCGCATACGGCTCCGTCAAATGGTGGAAAATCTTCACACCAACTCAATGCTCAGGCATCAACCGTTTCGTCGCTCTCTTCGCCGTCCCTCTCCTCTCTTTCCACTTCATCGCCGCCAACAACCCTTACGCCATGAACCTCCGTTTCCTCGCCGCGGACTCTCTCCAGAAAGTCATCGTCCTCTCCCTCCTCTTCCTCTGGTGCAAACTCAGCCCTAACGGCTCCCTAGACTGGACCATCACTCTCTTCTCCCTCACCACTCTCCCCAACACCCTCGTCATGGGGATACCTCTCCTCAAGGGCATGTACGGCGACTTCTCCGGCGACCTGATGGTTCAGATCGTGGTGCTTCAATGTATCATATGGTACACACTCATGCTCTTTCTATTCGAATACCGTGGCGCGAAACTGCTCATCTCTGAGCAGTTTCCCGACACGGCTGGTTCTATTGTCTCCATCCATGTTGATTCCGACATTATGTCTTTGGACGGTCGGCAACCGCTTGAGACAGAAGCTGAGATTAAAGAAGATGGGAAGCTTCATGTCACTGTGCGTCGCTCTAACGCCTCGAGGTCTGATATTTACTCGAGAAGGTCTCAGGGCTTATCGGCGACTCCTCGGCCTTCGAATCTCACCAACGCGGAGATATACTCTCTTCAGAGCTCTAGAAACCCTACGCCACGTGGCTCGAGCTTTAACCATACTGATTTTTACTCCA